CCTGCTGAAAGGAAAAGGAAACCAGGCAAAACAAAGCCACTACCTCTGTGGTGAAAATCTGCAGTGCAAACACGACTCCCTGAGGAGTCAGGAATGTATAAACCCCCGTCACAGGTACATGCCACACCGACAATGTCTCCATGCAGCTCTGTAATTAAATAGAGACTTGCACAAGCCACCCTGATGTCCTCTGGCTGTTTTGTTCCAGCACTGGGGTCTGGCTGTGAGGGGCAGCCCAGACACTCACAGTTAGCTCCAGAGCCAAACACCAGCAGCAGGCTCTGCCCTCGCGGGACACTTTGCTTGTCTCTGACTTACTCTGCAGACTGGTTGCAGTTCTCTCTCTCTCCCTTAGCCCAGTCTATCCTTAAGAATTCTAGTGCTTGTCTAGCCTGAAGCCATGAGAAGCAGACACAGGAAAGGAAGGACACAGAAAGGCAAAGGAAATGCTCTTCAGTTTCTCTCTTCTCCTCCAGACAGAGGCAGGTGGGGAGGGTTTGAGGAGGAAGGAGCTAAGTGCCCAGCCCAGAGCAGTGGTGCTGGCAGTCCTGGCACCACACCAGGTGCCTGGCACTGCTCAGCCCCATCGGGTGCACAGCAGAGCAGGTCCAGGGTGGGCACTGAAAGCCACTGCTGCCCCAGGAGTAACTAGAGACTTCCCTCAGCTAAGCAATTCCCACCAGTGGGAGCATCACAGCTCAGCCCTGGGCAGCAGCTTTTCCCAGGGTTAAGTAACTATTCACAGGGAGGTTTTTCCCTTCTGTGTTTCATTTGAGTTTCACTGGAGAACTTCATTATTCCATGTAGGAATATTTCTGTTTCTGTGGCTCCGTTTTCTCCAGCTACACACTGAAATGTTTGATGTCTAAGCAAGATACAGTGAACCTCAGCCAGGCTTAGTCAGCACTTCTGGGTAAAGATTATTTGCTTTATACCAAGTGAGAATCGAAGAAGAAAACCCTTCCCACTGCTCGGGGAGAAACCACCTGGTCCAGGAATGAACCAGCTAAGGTTTCAGTTTAATGGCATTTTGCATCCTTGGCATGAGCCAAAGGTCTTGGGCTACTCAGTTTTGAGCTAACAGAGAACAAATCTAATTCCTGAAGTCCTGAGCTTGTCCAGGATCCAGAATCTCCAGAGCTACTGAGTTCAACTGAGGCTTCATTCTCCTTGTTGTATGATTCAACCAAGGGAAAATCAGGTGCTCAGACATCCCTTCCCTGCCCTCCCCAGCACAGCACAATGAGTGATTTTCCAAGATGAAACACCAGGACTCAGAGCAGGCTGTTTGTAGCCTGTTTGGCCTCAGTCTGGCAGGCTCAGAGGCTTTACCCTTACAGCCAGGTGTGAGTTCTGAGCCATGGACTACAACACCCTGTTCACAGCACCCAAAAGAGATAAGACAGGGTGATCTGTCCATTTCCTGAGGCCTCTGAGTCCAATAGCTTCAGGCCAGGCCTGACAGACTCATGGATGTGTTTTCTCCTGCACATCTAGCAAAAAAACCCAGCAGAGCGAACCAGTTACACTTGTTAAATTAACTCTCTCTTTAATCAAAGCTTCTTTTAATAATTCAAACTGCTCCCCCAAGCCTCCCTGACAGTCCCAGACTGGCTGCCTCACAAACAGCTTTTGACTCATAAATAACCACTTTCTTCACCA